TATTTGAAGAAAGTAATTGAAAAATGTTATCAGAAAATGGAAAGATTTCTCATACTCATGTATTCGTTGGATTAACACATTAAAATGGCCATCCTACCAAAAGCAAACTACTGATTCAATACAATCCCATTCAAATCCAATACAATACTTTACAGACCTTGAATGGACAATTCCCAGCTTCATATGGAATAACAAAAATCCAGGATAACTAAACCAATCATGAACAAGAAAAGAACGACATGGTATTGGCATAAAAACAGATACATTGATCAAAGGAATCAAATTGAAGACCCAGATATAATTCCAACCACATTGGAACATGTGATTTTTGATAAGGAATCCAGAAGTACACAATGGAAAAAAGACAGCACCTTCAACAAATCGTACTGGTTAACTGTATTCCCACTGTGGAAGAATGCAAATGGATCCATATTCATCAGCCCGCACAAAACTCAAGTCCAAGTACATCAAAGACCTCAAAATAAAACCAGACACACTGAAACTGACAGAAGAGAAAGTGGGAGACATTCCTGAATGCACTGGCACAGGAGATAACCTTCTAAACAAAATACCAATATTGCAGACACTAACATCAACAATTAATTAATGGGACTTCATGAAACTGAAAAGCTTCTGTAAGGCAAAAAACACAGCCAATCAGACACAGAGACAGCCTAAGGAGTGGGAAAAGATTTTTACCAACTCCACAATAGATAGAGGCCTAATATATATGAACTCTAGAAACTAGATGTTCAAAAAACAAAAAAGTCAATAAAAAATGGGATACATCTTAGCCAGAGTCACCCTTCTTGATTAGTTTCTTTAGGTATACAGATTTTAGTATGTTTATCCTATATTATCTATCTAATATCCACTTATGAGTAAGTATATACCCTGTGTGTCTTTTTGCTTCTGGGATACCTCACTCAGGATGATCTTTTCTAGTTCCCACTATTTGCCTGCAGATTTCATGATTTCCTTGTTTTTTTTTTATTGCTGAGTAATATTCCATTGTGTAAATGTACTACAAATTGTGTCCATTCCTCAACTGAGGGGTTGTTTCCAGCTTCCGAATATTACAAATAAAGCTGCTACAAACATGGTTGAGCAAATGTTCTTGCTGTATATTTGAGCATCTTTTGGATATACGCCTAGGAGTGGTATAGCTGGATCTTGAGGAAGCGCTATTCTTAATTGTCGGAGAAAGTGCCAGATTGATTTCCAAAGTGGTTGTACAAGTTTACATTCCCACCAGCAGTGGAGTAGGGTTCCCCTTTCTGGCTAAGATGCTCAATCCCCATTCAGAAAGGCAAAGAGGATGGACATCAGAATAGGGAGAAAACAGGGAACAGGACAGGAACCTACCACAGAGGGCTCTACCCTGCAGGGTATCAGAGCAGATACTAAGACTTATAGCCAAACTTTGGGTGGAATTCAAGGAATCTTATGAAAGAAGGGGGAGATAGTAAGGACAGGAGCTCCATAAGGAGAGCAACAGAACCAAAACATCTGGGCACAGGACAGGGACTGTCTCTGACATGAACTGATTGGCCTGTTCTTTGATCATCTCCCCCTGAGAGGGGAGCAGCCTTACCAGGCCACAGAGAAAGACAATACAGCCACTCCTAATGAGACTTGATAGACTAAGATACACTAAGATCAGAAGGACTAAGACTAAGATCAGTGTACTTGGGGAGGGACATGGGTGGAGAAGGGGGAGAGGGTGGGATTAGAAAGGGAGGAGGAAGGGAGCTATGAGGGGGATACAAAGTGAATAAACTGTAATTAACAAAAAATTACAGAGAACTAAAAATAAATAAATAAATAAATAAATAAAGTGTGGACATAAAAAAGGGGTACAAATCTAATCAGATTTCTCAACAAAGGAATCTCAAATGACTGAGACACACTTGAAGAAATGTTCAGTATCGTTAATCGTCAAGCAAATGCAAATAAAAACTACTTTGAGATTCCATTTTAAAAAGGTCATAATACTAAGATCAAAAATATAAGTGACAGCTCAGGATGGCAAAGATATGGAATAAGGAGAATATGCTTCCATTGCTTGTGAAAGTACAAACTAATAGAGCCACTATGGAAATCAATATTGTGGTTCCTGAGAAAACTGGGAATTAATCTACATCAAGATCGAGCTATACCATTCTTGGGCATATATCCAAAATATGCTCCAACCTACCATAAGAACACTTGGCTCAACTATGTTCATAGTGGCTTTATTCATACTAGCCAGAAACTGGAAACAAAGATGTCCTTCAACTGAAGAATGGATTAAAAAAAAAAATGTAGTACATTTACAAAATGATTACTCAGCTATTAGAAAAAAAAATTATATCATAAAATGTATGGACAAATGGATTCAACCAGAAAAATCACCTAAGTAAGGTTACCCAGACTCAGAATGACAAATATGGTATGCACTCAATTATAAGTAGATATTAACTATCAGGTAAATGAAATCAAGCTGTAATCCACAGACACAGAAAGGTTAGGTAAGAAGGGTATGAGGAGGAAGCATGGATCTCCCTGGAAAGGGGCAGAAGAATAGGTTCTGTGGGTGGACTTGGGGATTGATATTTAGGGTTACATCAAAGTTCAGGGAATTCCAGCTTTGCAGTTCTATGATTGATTGACATTTAGCAAATAAATGGGTGTGTCCAGAGGAGACTGTTTGCCTGGAGGGCCAAATCAAACCATAATTGTTTTACTCATACTATTTTAAAGAACACCTGGGTAAATTTCAGGTATTCACTGATTAGCCATTGCTAGGAGTGATGGTTAAATGTTACTGTTTTGTTTTGTTTTTTTTTCCCTCCAGGCTATTCCTTGAATAAGGGACTCCACTGTCTTCTTTATGGAACTGGTGACCTAGTTCCTGGGACTGGTGGCTTTTGGGGTGGGTCAGGCCTGGTTCTTTCAGCTCCACATGCAAATCCTTTCCCTGTTACTGCAATGGACAGTTCATTACATGACTCAAATGGGTAATTTTAAAACTCTGCTGTGGTACAGCCCTTTAACTTAAGAGTTAGAAAGTTTAATCAAGAGGAAAGCAAGGTCATTGCTCTGGGGAGCAAAGTCTGAGATTAAGGCCATCTGAGTCAACATAGCTTGTTTCAGAACATTTTTCTAAAAGGCGGACAATGTAGCTTTTATAGAATACCTTCTTTGGGAAAATTAAATCAAAAGATTAATTAAGAAAAATCTCTAAAAATAGCATGCATCCAGCTCTGGTTAATGATAAAAGAGGAGACAGCTAAGAAGAGATTTTACATTCCACATGCTGTCATCCTTAAGTCTTTTTTAGGGAGAAATGAAAGGAAACAGGAGACTTCTTTTTTTTTCACATTTTTATCCTTTATTACATTAATTTACCTCCCAGAGCTTTACAGGCCTTGAGATCTTTATGTTTAAGATGTTTCTTTATGGTCTTATCAATACACAATGTATTTTATTAGTACCTCATTAGTATAACTTATTACTACGTGTATATTTTTTTTAATTTTATTTTTTTCTTATCAGTTACATTTTATTAACTCTGTATCCCAGCCATGTCCCGATCCCTCATTCCCTCCCAATCCCTCCCTCCCTCCCTCCCTCATCTCCACCCTGCCCCTTTTCAAGTCCACTGATGGGGGGGGGGACCTCCTCCCCATTCATCTGATCCTGTTTTATCAGGTATCTTCAGGACTGGCTGCAAAGGTCTCCTCTGTGGCCTAACAGGACTGCTCCTCCCTTGGTGGGTGGGGAGGCCAAAAAGCCAGTCATTGAGTTCCGAAACAGGAGACTTCTATGAAGTCAGTAGAAACTATCCTATAACGGGACAAACTCAGGAGGAGTCTAACAAAACAATGTCGCACAAGGGGAACACAGGTATCTCAGGGCATTACTAAGAACACACTGGCCTTGGGACTGATAACCCACAGCCTCATGTTGTAGGAAGAGCCCAGTTCTCAGACTCTGAAGCCAGCCCTCCCCAAATGCTCCAGCTTCAAACCATTACCAGCTCTCCAAAGGAAAAGCTACCAAGACCTAGACCCTAGGCTGTAACTGGCTCTGAAAAGCCTGTTTCTGGGTTTAAGAAGGAGCTATGTCATTCTCCATACACGAGGACCTCAGGAAAAGCCATGCTTGACCTCCTTAACATAACAGTATTTTTCTTTCCAAAAGGTGTCATCAGGTGTCATGCCCATGTGGCAGAACTGTACTTGTCTCAGTAAGAACACTGGACCTTTAAGGCACACCAGGCCTTGGTGTTGACTGTGACCCTGTAATACCCCCTTGAGCAGCTTGTTAAGAGGCCTGTTCTTTGATTTGGGGATAGGCCTACTGGCTGGCTGTAAATTAGGGTTGTTTCCTTTGTTATAGTTTGGAGCCATATTTCTGGATAATCCTGGTGAACAAACATGTGTATCCCAGCATCCTAATCTCTAACAGGACCTGGGTAGCCTATGACTAATTTGTGGGGTGATTTAGAGACAGTCCTCCCTCAGATAAATTCTAGTTGGTTGGACTTATTATCTCACTGATAAATCTTTCACATCATCTCTACTCTTTTACATCATAGCTTAATGTTGGAGTGCTACGAGACACACGGCATGCGTTTTAGAACTTCCACAAAATTAACTCCAGATGGATCTGACACCTAAATGTTAAATGCCAAGAGGAGAACTTCTAGTCGATGCTAGAGATACTAGGCCTTTCCTAGTTTGGTATCCTGTCCAGGATGTCTCTAAACACAAACCCCTACTCCAAATGCTCTGTGCTAGTACAGCTCTCATATTGGAGTTATTTAGACGCCACTGCAGGGTTCACGGAGCAAACAGGACCAAAAGGAACGTCGCAGGTGGCCGAATCTGGCCGCTGGTTCCCACCCAGGGCGGGGGAGGTTCCCACCTAGGGCGGGGGAGGTCCCAGCCCACCACCCCGATCCTTCCGCTCAGCCTCCTGCTCCTCCTCCTTAGGGGCAGTGGCCACCTACTCACCATGTCTCGACTCGGAGCTCGCTAGAGCTCCCCTCACGGCACTCAGCAGCACTCAGAGCAAAACACACTAATCATCCTAGCCTGCTGAGTAATGGAGCTGAAACTGCGGCATGAAACCCGGAAGAACCCTCCTCCACCAGTGATGGACCTTTCCGTCTGGAGGTCCTGATTGGTCAATGAGTCTTGAGTGACATGAGCACCCCTCCTTAGAGTTAAGAGTGTGCTGAAGCTTAGTTGTTTCTCACCAAAGCTTCTATTCCAGGGCCAGACTTTTTCTATATCTGCAGAGATTTGAATTTCAGTAGCAATTGCGCCTGTGCTCCAAGAACCTACTTGTCTGCTACTCACTCAGCCCCGGGGAGGAACGACCACTCCAGCTCCCGCTGCTCAGCCGCCTGCTCCTCCCCTTTGTGGGCAGTGACCCTGTCCTCACAGCAAAGCAACTTCAGAGCTTGCCTCAGCAACCACCACAGCTCTCATCCGCCTCCCCTTCTTTCTCCTGGAATCAAAGTAGATGGATCGTTTGCACAGTCCGTTATTGAGCTTTCAGCGAAGTGGACAGTCTGACCCACAGGTGGAACTACGACTATTAACAATTAAAGAGAGATTTTAGGAAACAAAATAAGAGTTTTGTTCTGTGACTTTACACTGGTGTCAGATAAATTGCAGTTACTTTAAATCTGGTATATATGAGACTTCATGACAACCCTGGGAGAAAATCAGGAAACAGATGACAAACACTATGGAGGAGTATCGTTAGTCAGCACATCTTCCTTAGCGGGAAGGTTAAAAATACAAAACCAACCAAACAAATAAATAAACAAATACCATGGCTGTAAAGTTTCTCTAGATGAACAGAACTGATGGAATGAATTTCTTCATGTATCTTGAAAGTGGATATTAAATAAGAACGGTTCACAGGTTGTGGTTCAACGGGCTGTCTACAGTAGTGGTTCAGTCCATGCGGCTGAATGCCTCAGCTAGTCTTCAGTAAATACCAGAATTCTGAAGAAGGAGGCTCTAATGCCAGGGGGAAAAATGATCTTTCTAGCCATAGTAGGACAAGCAGAAAAATAGAAAGAGCTACCGTCTTCAGTGCCCTTTTTATATGTAGGCTGTTAACAGAAGCTGTGGCCTAGATTCAAGATGGATCTTATCACCTCAAAAGATCCAGTTTAAAGAAGGGTTTTCCTACTTCAAAAACTATTAACTATGAAAAAAATCCCTCACAGTACCCAACTGTTAGGGGTTTTGGTTTGAGGTAGCCAGTCCATTGGCCCTGCTCACGTGTGTGCAAGTCATGCTGGCTCGCTATTCTTGTTGTTTTCAGCAGACACCTCCTGTTTTGCTTGGTTAAGCCTCCTGTTTTGCTTGGTTAAGTTTCTTGTTTTGCTTGGATATGTTTACTTGGAAAGTCCCTTGTTGTTTACCTATATAAGTGGTTTACTCTGTAATAAAGATGGCACCTTGATCAGAGCACTGTCTTGGTGTCACTTCTTCATGTTCTCTGTATCTTAATTCCCAGACCCTTGTGCAGGCGGTTACTATTGATGGTCACAGATGACTACATGGAGGTACAGCTGTCCTAGAATTAATATCCATTCCCAGAGAGAAATCACTCCAATCAATTAAGAAATCAATAAAGAAAAAAATGTTTTTAATGATAGCATACATTTAGGTCTGGCTAAAGCTCAGAGTCAGCCTAGAACTGATTTTGCTTTCCATATATGTTGTCATCCTATACTTTTTTTTCTTGGTTCAGTCCCCAGGTTATACTTTGAAAAATTTAAATAGGAAATATAGACTGCCTGTCTACCCACTGAGGCAGATGGAGGTTTACAGAGCAAATCTACTTTTAAGATCACAACGTGTGATCTAAAAGATAGACTCAAAAGATGTAGCAATGTCACAATTCTCACACACACAAAGGACAGAGAACACAAATACAGAAAGCACCAAAGTCACCTAACAGCACTGGGGTTGTTACTCTTACATGAACAGTTCTGCTGAGCGATTCTAACCTCAAAATAAGTCTGCTTTTCCTTCTGAGCACACTGGTTCACCTGCAGGACCAGAAAAGGGCTTTATTTTAACTAGCCCTGAATGCTGTCTGTCTCAAGGCTGTGACATCACTTCCATTATTTTAAGCTTTATTTTTATTCTATGTATATGGGTGTTTTGCTTGCACTTGTCTGTTTGCCATGTCTGCAGAGGCCATACTAGGACATCAGATTTCTTCAGGTTGGAGTTACACCAGCTGTTTAACTACATACGGTTTCTGGGAATGGAACCTTTGTCCTCTGTAACATCCAAAGCTCATACTGCTAAACCATCCCTCTAGCTGCTCTTTTTAGTTTAAAATATATTTTTATACATTTGAATTAAAATATGTTATATCTCTTCCTGTAATATCTATCTCTTCAAATTCATCTAATATTTATTCCCAATAACCACACATAAGTTGGAGCTGTGGTAAAAACCTCCTAGCTCAACAAGGTAACTTTATTTGTTTAACTGTATACAAAATATCTGTTTACAAGCTTGATTCTGCAACTACACTGCCATCTCTTTAGATATCTTTATCCGTGTCCTTTTGCCTAGCTAATCGATCTTTCTCTTGAGCACCTCCAAACCCATGAGGACTACTGAGCATTTCCTCAAAACCTGTTTCAGCTATGTCCTGCCAATCCCCTCACTGTGGTTCCTGCAAGCCCAGAGAGAAAATCCCTATCTTGTACCCAGAGCATTTTCCATGAAGCTCTTCCAACACAAGAAAGAGCCCCAAAAGTGTACCCATCAAAAGGTCCAAGTACTATAAAAAATTTTCTAAAAAAAAAAAAATGTTTCTAGCTACTCCCCTATAGCCTTGGCAGGCTGAACCATGTCACCTTCATGATTGGGAGCTCCAACCAAATCATAAGGGGCCAGAAACATTTCACCTTTACTGTGGGGGCAGCTCAAGGCCATCCAGGTGACTTTGCCTCCTGTTATAGCACAACAACCACAAGAAATCTCCCATGCAATTTGCCTTAAAATAGACAGAACTTTCCATTAATTAGCATTATTTTTAATTAAATTTTTATTTTTAATATTAATTATAGTTTATTCATTTTTTATCCCAGCTGTAACCTCCTCCCTTATCCACTCCCAATCCCACCCTCCCTCCTTTATCTAACACTTGCTAGCTGCTCTTCCAGAGGATCAGAGTTTAATTCCCAACACCTACATGGCAGCTTACAAGTGTCTGTAGCTCCAGTTCCTGGGGATCCAACACCCTCACACAGATAAATATGCAAGCAATGCATATAAAATACAAAGTAAATAAAACTTTTATGGGACAAAGTTAATAAACTGTAACTAATATTTTTGAAAAAACTTTTATAGGGCTGGAGAGATGGTTCAGTGGTTAAGCGCACTCTCATTAGCATTCTTAATCTAATGAGCTTTCCAGAGGCACACCTAGAATTTGACAAATGCAATATCTTTCAAAGCATGTTTATTTTGCTAACAACTAGGTTTTCTATGAACTAAAATAAAACACCCTGCAACAACTTAACATTTCCCTTGTCTTCTCTCAATCCCATTTTTTTCCCAGCCAATTTCTTCTTTGTTATTTATGTGTGAATATGTATGCTCAAGTATATAAATAAAACTTGTGCTCATTTCTATTGTTTGTGAGTATGTGGTTTCAGGACTGACCACCTTGCAGTGGATAGGCAAACAGGGAATTCATCTTTGCCTGAGGCAATATCTCCCACTTGCAGGAGAGTTCCATTCTTTAATAAGCAATAAGATTTTAGGATCACAAAACATCCACAGATCATGAGGAAATCAAGGAATATTAAACATGCAGTGGCCTCTTCTCAACGAAGGAAAAAAAGTCTTCAGGTCACAGCTCGTTGCAAGAGAATTTGGGAAATACAGCCCACCACGGAGTCCTGGGGCAAGTAGAGAATGTGAGTGTTACCTAGCAGAGTACCTAGCTGCTCTTGACCTCTGAGGAAGTCCTTCTCAAATAGAGGGTATATGAGTAAGTACATGCAGCAATTACATCTTGCTGAATTGTGGTTGCATTATTTTCTTCTTGGTTTTGAAAAGATTTTTGAGTAGGAGTGTTACAAAATCACAAAAATGAAAACAATCTCGTTGTGCATTTAAAGAGTTGCCTTTGTTAAAAGGATACACCTGTGTAAAATGTGAGTCATGCCAGCTCTAAGCAGATAGTGAATTCGGTTAAGAAGTAACTGATCCAGCAACAGAAAATTCAACTTCCAGTCTTTCCCAGTAGCCAAAATGAGAGTGTTAAAAGAACCTCAAAGTTAACTGCCATTTAAAACCACAAAGGACTGTGGGATATTAGCAAGTATGGATACAACCCAAGAGTCAAGCAACAGAAAAGAGAGGTGGGAACAAGTAGATCAACTGGATAGTGAACATTTGGCAACTTAAGAGAAAGTATTTGATTTTCCTATCTTGCCAAGTTTAGAGTTCTATACCTAAATTAACTTTTATCCTATGGGTATTACCTATATGAAAACAGTTTCTTAAATTCTAAATAACTTAAGCCTAATTGTGGAACTGCAACTATTTGGTCTTCAACCCCACCAGAGACTTGAGAAGGAATAAAATTAGTTAGTGGAGTAAAGAGGAACTGCATGTTAGCACTTCCAAAAATAAAAAATTGACAGAGACAGTTTGCTGCCTGCACAATCACCCAAAACTCTCTAGAACACTGGAGCATCATCTTCAGCCTTTTGGCTCAGCATATTTGATAGACATATATGTGAAGCAGGAACTATTTAGGACTTGCTTATCCTGTCTTGGCAGAGTTCAGCAGTTGGTTGTCCTGCAATTAAGCTTGCCCATTTTTGGCAGAATTCTTTCTGTTGAGAAATGAGGGCAGGTTTTTTTTTTTTTGGTTTTTTTTTTTTTGGTTTTTGTTTTTGTTTTTTTTTTTTTTGCCTTGGTGGCTCATTTGCCATATTTGAAGCCATCTCCATATGGAAGTTCTTCAATGTTCATCATCATCATTGAGGTAGGCAGGGTGCTGCCAGGAGATGACTGTCTCATTGTCAAGAATCTTTAAAATGATAAAGACATTTTAAAATGCCATATTCTGTAGGT